AGAGGCAAGATCTGATCCTAGATCCTGACTCCAGAAGCAGTGTTCTTCCCAACGTACCATGCTGTCTGTTTTGGTGACAATATCGAATAAATCGATAATAATTCCCCCTACCCCAATCTGTTAGTATATTCCCCTCTTTGCTCAACCTTGAAAACTGGCCCCTCAATGCTTTTAATGCTAAATCATCCCCAGCATAGCATTTCATCAGGTCCTCTTTTCAATACCATTCCCACTTCTTCATAGAACATATTTGAGCTTGAAGTATTAGCATCTAAATGTGGTGGTCCCACTGTCTTCATAGATCTTATCGAGGGGTAAACACATAGGTATTGGGACAGCTCAGTGGATAGAGTGCCAGGTCTGAAGTCAGGAAGACTCTTCTTCCTGAGTTTAAATCTGGCCTCAAACTCCTACTAGCAGTGTGACCCTGGGCAAGTCACTTACCTCTATTTGCCTCAGTCTCCTCATCTGTAAAATGAGCTGGAGAAGGAAATGGCCAAGCACTCTAGTATCTCTGCCAAGAAAACCCCAAATAGGGTCATGAAGAGTCAGAACATTACTGAAAAATGACAGAACAACAAACACATAGGTTGGTCAAAGGGATTCTGTGTCGTGCAGCAGAGTCTCAGAAACTTTGAAGAGATACTTTCAAGGTCAGTAGGAGTCCTAGTCCTTGATGGCAAAGGGGAAAAGATGGAGGACAGGTGAGTGATACATGAGACATTATACACATTTCTGCTGAGACTTCAAACTCCCAGCCCAGGCAGGCCTTCTGTATTCTGATGTCAGAAATATGGGCACAAGGATCAAAGAAACCATGTACCTTTTCTTCTCACATTTTACACCACATATTTAGGCACTCGGGCCTTGGGCAGGGTGGCAATATTGAGGGGTCCAATGAAAAAGAAACAGGCAATGTAATGACATGAAAAACATTCAAAACACAAAATAATAGCATTTGAAAGCTGTTCACAGAGCCGTCCTCAGCTCCCTCCCCGCTGCCTCACATATCCAGCTGTTGCTGATTTGACCTTCACAGCATCTTTAGTATCTATCCCCTTCTCTCTACTCATATGGATAATACCTGAAACTCTGATCCCTTCTCTCCTGTACTACTGCAGAAGCCTCCTAATTGGCCTCCCTATCTCAAGCCTCTTTCCACTCCAATCCGTTATCCATATAGCTGCTAAAGTGATTTAACTAGAGTGCACAGAGGCCACAGGTTCCCCACCCCTGATTGTACACTCTATGTCACTCCTCCACTCAATAAACTGCAGTAGCTCCCTATTTCCTCTAGGACCAAATATAGACTGTACCATTTGTCATTTAAAAGCTCTTCACAACTTAGACCCAACCTACCTTTCGAAGGTATGACTCCCCTTTACACTCTACAGTTCAGTCAGCTTCCTTCTATTCTTCCTCCATGACATTCCATCTTCCATCTACAATGCCTTGATGTAAGCTATTCCCCATTCCTAGAGTGTACTCCCTCCTCACCTCAAGTCACCAGAATCCCTCCCTTCCTTTAGAATTATGCTCCAGCACCACCTCCAGCACGAGGCCCATGTATACACCCTCTTCTTTCTTCTTTCACCTCCAGATCTGGAACCATTTGCTCATTGTGTATCCCATGGATAGAAGGTGCCTACTTTCACCTTTGCCTCTTATAATCGCTGGCTTCTTTCAAGTGCCAACTCCTTTAAGAGGCCCGTCTTGACTCACCTCCCCCCCAATCCCCACCAGATGTTCATGGCCTTGCCCCTGAATTTACCTTGTATTTGCTTTGTATGTATTCTGTATTGACTTACCTGTGTAAATGCTTCCATTTGGTAGAATGCATGCTGCTTGAGGGCAGGAATTGTTTCATTTTTGCCTTTGTATCCCTACGGCCTAACACAGGGCTTTTCAAATTTTAGATGTTTAATAAATGCTTGTCAAATAAATGGTCACTTTCAAAATGAGGGGATTGGACTAGAAGGCCTAAGGTCCCTTTCATTTCTAAAATTATGATCCTAACAATCCACACAGATAAAACCAAGTGGATGAAGAATTCCCATTATCCAGCCTATGATTTACAATTGAATGGGTCACCCATAGACCTGGCCCATCAATGTATATATCTTAGACAGACACTACCAATGCACAGTGATCTGAGTCCAGAGTTGAATAATGGGAAATCAGGCTAGGTTGCCTCTAGAAAATTGCAGAGATCTTTTAAAGATGCCATACTTCCCCCTGAAATAAAGGCCCACTTTATAACTGAGTCATAAATACCATTCCTTCCAAAGAATTGAAGTTAAAGGTGACCCAAAAGGTGAGGGGGAGGCACAATCAGCTGGGTGTAAGGAGCAACATATTACAAACGAGGAATTTTGTAGGAGCCATCAAGTAAAGGATGTAATCAAAGAGGTCTATAATGAGGGAAAAAAAAAAGATGGGATGGCCACATAATAATGACAAGAGATAATCAACCAAGCAAACATGCAAGCATTTACTATGCACTTACTCTGCTCCATGCTGGGAATAATACAAAGGCAAAAATGCAAAGAGTTTACTGTGTAATTGAGAAGATATGTATTTATATAGGTATATATAAAACAGGTACAAGGAAACCATAAAAGTCTCATAAAGACTTGAGCTGAGTCCTAAAGGAAAGCAGAGGTTCAAAGTGTCAGAAGTGACTGTTCTGGGAATGAGAGGTAGTAGAAAGGATCAGATATGGGTGATGGAGTGTCCCATCTAAGAAACAGCAAGTAAGCCAGTTTGGTTGAGTATGTGTGGAGGGGAGAGATGTTTAAGAAAGTTGGATAGCTAGAAAAGTGGGATGGGGCTGGGTTGGGAAGAGATTGAAATTCCAAACAGATAAGGATGGTCTAATCAGGGGTGGGGAACCTTCGGCCTCCAGGCCACAGGAGGCCTTCTACATCCTCAAGTGCAGCCCTTTGACTGAATCCAAACTTCACAGAACAAATCCTTTCATTAAGGGGATTCCTTCTGTGAAGTTTGGATTCAATCAAAGGGCTGCACTTGAGGACCTAGAGGGCCACACATGACCTGGAGGCTGAAGGTTCCTCACCCCTGGACATCCATTCAGTGATACAGACCAAAGCTGATCCATGCCTGCTCATCCTGGGTGACTCCCGTCCCCATCCTGCCTTATATAGATCCACCATGCATGCTTGAAAGAACATTGACGTGGGTGAATCACAGCTCCATCAAAATCTGACCCTATGATCTTCAAAAGAAGGGAATTAAAGCCTCTGCCAAGGAGGGGTTCCCATCATAACTTTTTACAAATTTAAATCTGTTGCTATCTTTTGTTTTCACAAAGCACTTTACACACTACATCTTGATCGAGCCACACCACCATCCTGTGAGGTTCGTGCTTTTCTTACCTCCTCCTCCTCCTCCCATTTTATAGCTAAGGAAATCAAACTGAAAGAGTTCAGGTGACTTGCTCTGGGACACACAGCTGAGGCAAGATTCAAATTCAGATTTTTCTCACTCTGTGTCATGTCTCCATGTGTCAGATAAAGTATTCCATAGTAACTTAAATGACTTTTTTCTTTGGCAATTGAGGTTAAGTGACTTGCCGAGGGTCACACAGCTAGTAAGTGTCAATTGTCTGAGGTCGGATTTGAACTCAGGTCCTCCTGACTCCAGGGTCGGTGCTCTATTTCACCACCTAGCTGCCCCTTAAATGACTTTTTTTCCCCCAAAATTCCAGGTAGGCATAGAATAGGGGTGAGCTTCAAACGGTCCCCCCCCCCCCCCGCCACCCGAAATTGAGTTTTAATCCAGTTTCTTAGCCTGGTTTTGTAACTCACTGAGGGGTCAGGCAGGATAAAGAAGGTCTGAATGTAAAAGCAGACACCTGAAGACTGAACAGCCAACATTCTACAGAGTAAGAGAGAGGGTTTTTTTAAAAATGCAAAGCCTCGAAACTTAAGTGGCCGCAATGTTGAAAAGTGCCAAGAAAACCCATGACATTCACCATCTTGACTATATGGGATGGGCGTTGAGGCTAAGTAAGGGAAAATACCTAAACGCCAGCCCTGCCACACTGCTGCAGGTGTGGCTTTCGGAAAGGAAAGAGCTGTTTAACTGTAGTACCTAGTGCGAGAGTGCAGGTGGATACTGCAGGGGGGCCAGAGGGCGGGGGAGACCAGTATACGGAGGAGACCAGTATACGGAGGTCTAGTGGAAAGATCGAGTCAGAAGAACTGGGTTCGAATACCTACCTGTCTATTTCTTAGAGGCTCACAGAATTTAGTCCTTAAAGGGACCTGAGAAGTTACTCAGTCTTAGTAGCTTCATGACCTTAGATAAATCAATTCACTTCCCTGGACCTTGAGGTTTTCATGTGTAAAATGAGGGGGTTGGAATAGACGATTTCAGAGGTCTTTACCAACTGTAAGTGGGCAAGTCATACCTTCTCGGTGCCCCCAGGCAACTCTAAGACTGTCAATTACCGAGGAGATGAGCAACCTACTAAGGTAGGAGTTCCCTAAACCGATGAAATCACAGGTTCCGTCTCTCTTTTCTAACTCCAGTTCCTAAAATCCAGTGAAATGTTATTCCCCTTCTCATCCCCGCACCCCTCTGCCACACCCACGCACACGACTCAAGGGAACACAATTCAACCCAAACCTTCAAAATCCAACACTGGAAACACTCTGACCCCTGAGAGAGCCGGTCCCCCTTCCCTAGAGACCGGACAGAGGGGCCCAGATTGGGGGGTTGAGGCGGGCAGGCACAGAGACCAGCCGCAAAGTCGGGAGTGCACCCCTCTGGGGCTGGGCCGGGGGCTCACTGCTAGCATCCCCGGGGAGGGGGGGAGTCTCCGCTGGCCCCGTCACTTGAGCCCAGCGCCCCCACGTAAGGATTTGGCAGAGTCTTTCTGGTTCTTCGTCTACTCTGCACCTTCAGGGAGGAGACACCTGTTGCGTGATTGATTGATTGAGGGGCCACACCTCCCACTGGGGACGCCAGTCCCTCCTTCTCCTTCCTTCCCCTCCTCTTAATCCTGGGCGCCCTTGGCCATCGGGCCAGTTCGGAATTCTCCAGGACAAGCGGAGAGAACGGGTAGAGCTGGGCAGTGGAAGGACCTTCTCTGTGCCCCAGAATAAGCAACAGCAGGTGCAGCTGCAGTTACAGCCTTGAAAGAAGTGAGGATGGCCCCTGCAGCAACTTCGGGAGGCGCCTCCCTGCCCAGAGGCTTCTCTGTTTTCGTTTCCTTTCCGGACCTGCTTTTCATTTTTGAATTTGTGAGTTGGCCTTTAAAAATACCTGTTCTTTCCTGGCTGTGGGGTAGAGGGATGAGGAAAGAAATAACACCTACAGACGTGACAGGCTGTGATGCTGCTGCTAGCCCTTCTGTGAGTGTCAGGACTCTCCCTACTCCTTAGACAAGTTGAGGAGGCACAAAAATCGTGCTAATACCGGCTTTGTTTTCAGCACTTTCCCATTTCCCAGGCGCTTGCCTCTCAGGAACCCCGTGAGGCACCCAGTTCAAATATTGTCCTCCTTTTACTGATACAGAAACGAAGGCTCAGAAAATTGAAGTGATTTGCTGTAGCTATGTAGAGCTAGGATGTAATTACCGGTCTCCTGGTCCCAGTGCCAAAGAGTCTTGCACAAGCTGATAAGAGTCTTCCAGCCCGTGAGCTCAGTCATAAACCTGTTTGAGCCTCCCCACAGTCATTTAGGGCTGTAGGCTTTCTAGAGTTTGGAGATTTCAGACTTTTCCTCCGGCAACTCAAATTGGCCAAATTGATAGTATAGGTAGAATCAAAAGACTCCCATAAAGCTGTCATTCTTAAAACTAGAGGTTTATCCTGCTTAGCAAGTGCATGCTTTGGTCCCAAGGTCCTTTTTGCCTTTAAAAACAAAATTGCCTTAAAACTATATTTATTCAGAGTGTAGTGTAAGGAGATCTGGATTTAGAGTTAAAGGATCTGAATTCAGATTTTGCCTGTGCCACTCACTACCGGCATGACTTTAGGCAAGTCACTTGTTCTAACGATCCTATGGCCTCTCTGTGCCTCAATGCCTCATCTGTAATTACGGTCAGCTGATCAATTTTTTTTTTCTTTCTTAGACTTTGCTAAATGCTATAACATAAACAATTTGGGGATACCACAAAACATTGTTTTAGAGAACTACCTAAGATCCAAATGCAGTTAAAAAAAAAAACAAACCTTGTTAATATGGTATTAAATGAAGCACATTACCTAAAAGATTCTGAATGTGACTAGTTTTAAGTAATTTTTTAAGGTTTGTTTTTGAACTTATAATGACCAAATGGAAACATTGTTATATTTTCAGTTGAAACTCCAATTATTTGTTTTGTAACATTGCATACATTTCTTGATTCTTGTCCTGATTCCTAAACTTTTTAGGGATTTTTTAGAACTTTTGTAAGGTCCCTTGATGAGAGAAATATAATTTGAATCACTGTCAACTGTGAAACTTGGAAATAAACACTTGATTTGGTTTATTATGGCATTAGCTTATGAAGGGTGGTGGAGTAAATGATCTCTAATGCCTCTTCCAGCTATAAATCTGATTGGGGGGGGTGCCTGGAATACTGAGGGGTTTTTTTTAAAGTTTTTTATCAGTCAGTTAACAAAAATTACTAAGTACCTACCATATTCCAGTCACTCTGCTAAGTACTGGGGATACAAAGAAAGGCAAAGGAAAAAAAAAAAACTAAACCCAGTCCCTGCTCTCCAGGAGCTCATAAGCTAATGGAGAAGTAACCAACTATGTGCAAACAAGATATATACAGGGGAGATATATTGAGGGGAGTCTCAGAGGGAAGGCATGAGAATGAAGCAGAATTGGGAAAGGCTTCTTGTAGAAGGTGGAATTTTAGCTGGAACTTGAAGTAAGCTTGGGAGACTAGGGGTAGGAGATGAGAAAGAAGAGCATTCCAGGCTTGGGGGACAGTCAGTGAAAATGCCCAGAATCTTGTGGGAGGAACAGCAAGCCAAAGAAACTGAGTGATTTTTGGACAGAATTAAATATCTGAGTGGGATATGCTATAAGGACTTGGGTTGGTTGTTTTTTGTTTTTGTTTTTGAATCCCTAATTCAGAAACTGTGGGGCTTGTTTATATGTACCTATCTCTGTAGATTTGGATAGCTTTGATTTGAAAAGATTACAATAGAGGCAGCTGTTTGCATAATAATAGTGGAGTCTCTGCTCTTAGGCTGGTGCTTGAATCGTTGGAGGCTTAAGATTCTCCTCCCACTATAGTCCGTGAAAGTTGTGTGACCTTGGGCAAATCTCTGGACTTCTCTGGATCTCCATTTCCAGGCTCATTGTGTCCTCTATGACCTTGTTCAAAGGGAAGTTAATAAAGACTACACTAGTTGAAAAACTCAATGGAAATTCTTATGGAATTTCCCTTTTGGATACATGTTAGAAAATAACTAATGATCACCCAATTTCAACACTTGGACACCAGCCACCACCTGTTGGATTTTGCTGTGTGCTTGTGTTACCAGCTGCCAAGAATTGTTCATTTGCTTTTGTTACCCTTGGGCAACCACAAATCAAACACAGTTGTTCTTTTAAATTCTAAGCCATGTGCTCAGATTCTATAAAGTTTTTGTGTGGAAAACTAATTAGAGAGGGGTAGGGAATGGAGGAGATAGTCCTGTACCGTGTTGAGGGGATATAGTAGAATATGAACTCCTTCAGGGATTAACCGTCTCTCTTTTATGTTTGTATATCCAGTACCTAACATACATAATAGGTACTAGTTGGGGTTGGTACACAGTAGGGGCTTAATAAATGCTTACTGACTAATTAATAAGTAGCTTCCCGTTATCCAAATCAAAAACTGAAATGTGTTGATGAAAGTGGCTTTCAGGATATTTTAGTGGTTTTTAAAATAACTGTCTCTAGGGACTCCTTAGAATTTTCCTATTTAGGTATCATGTAACCATGTTCAATTCAATAAAAATTTGAGGAGTACTTACTGGATGTAAGTACTATGCCAGGCAATTCAAGGGCCTAAGACACAGTTCTTGCCTTTAAAAGACTTTGCAATCTGGTAGTGGTTAGAGGAAGGAGAGTGGAGATGTTTGGGGGTCTCTACCACCCCACACCAACTGAATTCTGTGCCACTTGCACAATGACTAGTTAAGGTAATAAGAGCCATGTAAAGTGTTCTGGGGGTCCAAAGGCAAGAGTGATCACTTCCAGTGGAAGAAGTGGATTGTGGAAAGCTTCAGGAAGGATGCAGCCTTTGATATGGGTCTTAAAGGATGGGCAGGATTTCAACTGGTAGAGATGTCAGGGTGGGAAGAACATTCCAAGCAAAGCAGAATAGCACAAACAAAGACAGGGAGACTAGGAACCACAGGGTGTGTTCAGGGGTGGATGTGAATAGTCCAATTTAACTAGAAGGTGGAGTATGTGTAGAAGGAGATAAGGCCAGAAAAAAATAGGTTGGGGCTCGACCATGCAAGGCCTTGAATGCCAGGCTGAAGTGTTAGGACTTAATCCATAGGTAAACAAGAAACTCTGTTTTTTGTTTTTTTTTTTTTAGAATGGGACTGATAAAATCCAAGTTTTGTTTTAGGAAGATCAATATGGGTGGCATGTGCGATATGATTTGGACTAAGAAAACTAAAGATAGAAAAATAAGGGTCTGAACACTGAACAGGGGTGGTAGCTATAGAAATGGAAAGGAGAGACTGAGAGACAGAAACCTCATAGAGACCGAATTAGAAAGGCAATATAACTCAAAAGCAAGTGGGAAAAGGGTGGTGCCATTAACAGAAGTATAGAAGTGGGGAGAAGAAAAAGATCCGCTTTGATTTTGGACTCGTTATTGTTCGCTTAATCATATGGCAGTCCCACTTTCAGATCAGAAATTGAACTGTTATCTGATTCTTTGTGACCTCATGGATCATAGCTAGCCAATACTATCCCTGGGGTTTTCTTGGCAAAGATGCTGGAGTGGTTTGCCATTTCTTTCTCCAGTAGATTTAGGCAATTCAGTTCCAAAATAAGTCGAGAAAGAAGAGGAATTCTGGCCAGAAGCAGTAGGTGATGGCCTTGGGAAGGGGAGCCGGTGGACTGATATCTGGGGACCTGAGAGCCTGCCAGATGGGAGAGTGTCCCCAAATGTTCTGTGTCAGGCACCAGAGTCCTTGTTCGCCTGCATCTTGCCTCCTGCCTCTGTGTCTCAGGTCTGGCTAGAGGCATCGAGCTGGAAGACTACAGGGTCCTACTTCTTGGCAGGTGTGGACAGAGGAGGAAAGGGCAGAGGGAGTAAGTCAGTCAGCAAGCATTTAAGTGGGTACCTATGCCGGTCCCTGTCTCACCAATGGGGCTGGAGGAAGGGCATTGATGCTCTTTTTTCCCCCTTCTCTCCCACACACCATCTTGGCACCTTTGCTGCTGCTGTTCCCCAGGCCTAGACTGTCTTCCTTTTCCTTAGTTGCCTCTTGAACTCATACTCATCCTTTAAAGTCCAACTCAGAAGGGATAGCCTCCTTGAATCCTCCCCCCCAGACCTCAAATAGCACTTTGTTTTGCAACTCTGACCAGTCCACTGAGCATATAATAATATGTATTAAAATTATTTCTGTATCTTATCTCCCTAGAAGACACTAAGTTCCATGATAATAAGAATCCTGTTTTATCGAAATTTTATATCTCCTCAAGAGCCTAACATAGTTAACTACATGCTATACAGTCTCAATAAACATTTGTTGAACGAATTAACGTTCCCTTAGAAACATTATTCTGCATTTTACTGATGAGAAAACTCAGGCAAACAGGGTTTAGGTTTAAAATTAATAGAATTTTAGAGCTAAAAGGGATTCTAGTGGTCACCTAAACCAACCATCTATTTTTATAGATGAGGAAACTGAGGTCCCGAAAGGGGCAAATCCAGCATGCTTCTCACTACTCCTCAGAAATGATATCAGCAGGACTAGAGAGCAGTTCCAATGTACTTGCCATTACAGTGGGCTTGGGTTTGAGGAAGGGCAGGGCACATGTTGATGACTCCGGTCTCCACAGGAAACCAGTGGAGCTGAACAATGAACTTTTATAAAAATTAAAAAAAAAAAAAAAGAAAATGAGATCAAGAGAAGTGAAATGAAATCTCTAAGATCATAGAGCTAATAAGCAATTTCAAATAAGGGTAAGTGAAGGGCTTGTTCAGCAAGCACTTAACTGACTTCAATGAATTTGAGTCTTGTGGCCTACATGAATATCAGCCAAGGGTGTTGAAAGAAATTAT